CGCGAAGGATGGAGGATTCGGAAGTCTCGAGCAGGGCCCCGGCGAGAATATCGGCATCTGCTGGAACGGCCCAGAAGGTGCGGGGTGAGAGAGCGGGAACTGCAAGTGCGGGGCCGTCGGCTGCTCAGCAACATACCTGGTGAACGACATCCCGACGCACCGTTCGATGGGCGACCGAATCTTCGTGGGTTTCGAATAGCGACACGCCATAAACAGCCCAAGTGGCTTTGGATGATGGGGCATGGGGGGGGGGGGCGCGATGGGCGACGAAGGCATGCGTCGCCCGAGCCACGATCGTCGATTCCAGAGCAAGATAATCGACGCTCGCAGCTATCGAGCCATATAGTAGAGCGAGATGGCCGCGACAGCACCGAAGCCCAACGCCTGAGGTCAGCCCGCGAGGAGGAGGGGGAGAGAGAGAGAGAGAGAGAGAGAGAGAGAACAAAAAAAATAATGAGAGGAAGAGAGAGCGAGAGAGAAAGAGAGGGATATATATATATATATATACATAGAGAGAGAGAGAGAGAGAGAGAGAGAGAGAGAGAGAGAGAGAGAAACAACAAACAACTATATATATATATATGCATATATGCACATTGTGAGAGTAGTTTAATTCGCGCTGGAACGACCGCTACGGCGTCATTCCCACTGGCGCGTCGCGCGCAGACGCCGACGGCGATGCCGATGTGGATGAGTGCTGGGCGACGTCGATAGCAGGAAAACGCCCTCATGGCACATGCGAACTGCACCGCGTGCGCACTGCGAAGAAAGATGTGCAATATGCAACTACAACCAAACGCAGAACGCCATACACAGTAACGCATACCAGTGCTTGTCCGAGCGGGGGGCGCGCTCCAATCGCGCATGCACTGCGATGGGCGCCGCCCCGCACGTTGCGATATCGATATCGCTACTCACAGGAAGGCGACTGCATCAGCGCGCCTCCCCCGTGAATTCTGAACGCGCGGCGCTGCGACACCGCCTGCCTGTTCGCCGCCGCGCGCGCCCCAGGGCCCCCAACTGCGCGCCATGTCCCAGACCGCGCCCGACTTCTTGACCCGCCACTTGGAATTCTTCGCGCCCGCATCGATAGCGGAGCTTTTGCGCGTGATCTGGGGCTGCTCCGTGAGCGCGGGTAGCGGAGGCGCCTTGTTCGACGTCGATGCGGGGCTGGCGTTGGCCTTGGCCTTACCTTTGGCTTTGGCCTCGGCCTTGCCTGTCGCCTTGGCCCGGGCCTTGTCCGTGCCCCGCGCCCTGTCGGTCTCTTCCAGCATCTCTTTGATGTAGGCGTCGATCTCTTGCATCCTGACCTCGGGCCCCGCGATGGCGGCGGCTGCTGTTCTCCAGAGCTGGTTCGGGCTTGTCCTCGTCGCCATCCGCCTCGTCAACCTTCTCGCGCGAACGTTTCTTCGGATCGGGGGCTGGCGCTGGCCCAGACGCCGAGGGGCAGGGCCCCCTACGAGGTCCTCTTGAAGAAGGCCAGCGGGAGCTCATCCTGCCGACCCCCGCCCCCTGCCGCTGCTTTGCCCGTCATCTGGTCGGGCATGCTACCGACCAGCGCGCGCGCGCTCTGCATGTTGGGCCCCTGCTGCGCGCCGCGCTGGCGAGCGATCGGGGCCGCGGCGCTGCCCCCCCCCCCCCCCCCCCCCACAGGGGTGTCATCATATGCGCTGTGCGTCTTGCGACTCTTCGTGACCTGGTTGGCCCTGCAGAGCAGCTCCTCGGAAAACTCAAGCGCAAGGGGGGGTGCGCCAACGCCGCGCGCCCGCGGCTCGACCTCGGTGAACGACGACACGGGGGATGGGCAACTGCACGCGGTGGACTGCGCTGAGCGTTTCGCTGGACGCTCCTTCTTCATGTACTCCTTTGGACACAACTATACCACCATCGGGCACCCATACTTAAGCATGCACCCCCGCGGGGGGCCCATAGGGCAGGGGGCTCAGATGTCGGGGGGCACATGCACACCACACTCACACCACAACCAAACCGCACACACATACACCAACACCAAGAGAAACACATATTCTCAGGCACCCCCATCATCGACCCAATACCCCCCATCCACCCTTCCGACACCGATATTCAGGCATGTGTGCTTGTGTGGGGTCGCGCATTCGACGTCGAGTTCGGTATCGATATCGATGTCGATGTCGATGTCGAGTCCTTGAGCTTGTTCTTGTACTCCAGCGCCTTCGCGGGCGTCGGCCCCCGACCCGCAGCGATCTCGCTCGCAACCACGAGGGCCGCCAAGCGGGGCGCCGTCTTCTGGGCGGGGCAGTGCAGGCTGATCGTGTGTGCGAAGAAGTCGGCAACCTGATCGAGTTTCGCTTCAATCCCGACGTGGACGTCCTGTATCATCTCCCACATCTTCTTCGTCAAGTAGTGCTCTGGGTACTGGTGGGACTGGTGCTGCACGCTGAAAGTGCGACCGTCGCGCTTGCCCACCATCGTGACATCCGCCGTCGCCGACTCTGTCACCGCAGCGATCAACGCGCGCTTCTTGGCGGCCTAGAAGATGTCCACCGAGTTGATGCTGTTGACGGCCCCCGTCGCGTCGTCCGTCGAGCAACCGCCGGGCTTGAAAATCAGCTTACGGTGGGTGACCTGACACTCTATCACGACCGCGCGCTCCTCCTCGCCGATTTGGGCGGCCACCGCCCGCGCGAAGTCGACGACGCCCCTCAGGGTGGCCAGGAACGTCGTGCTACTCGCCGCCGCCATCCCCGAATCGATATCGACTGCGCCCTTGCACTGTGAGCCAAAACGGCTGAGTGCGAGCCCTATTCCTCCTATCCAGTCCCCCATCCCGCCCCCCCCCCCCCCGTCTTCCCGAGTGCCGGTGCGGCCCCCGAATCGCGACCCTCCCGATCGTCAATTCAGTCCAACTGGATGTCGACGCGATGGTCATGGGGACCATCACCCCGACGTCGGGTGTCGAGGTGATGGTCACCATGGCCATCACCTCGTCGTCGGGTGTCGAGGTGATGGCCATGGTGACCATCGCCTCGTCGTCGCCTATCGTCGTCGGTCCTCGTCTTCCCTCCTCCGTTCCCTCCTCGGCGGGGCGGGGGAGGGGGCGCCCTGCGCAGCGACGGTGCCCTCGACGTGAGCCGCGGCGCGGACAGAGCAGCGGCGGCGGGGGGTCGGGGCTCGCGCGATAGTCGAACCCCCTTCCTCCCCTCCCCCCTTAATCTTTTTCATCCCCCCCATCATCCCTTTCGCCCCCCCTCCCCCACCTCCTCGTCCTCAGCGTCCAACCCCCTCCCCCCCCCCCCCCCCTCGCCCTCCCCGTCCTCGTCGCCCCCCTCGCCCTCCCCTCGCGCGCCCTCGTCGCCCTCGCGATCCTACTCCGCCCGCCTCCCCCCCCCCCCCTCCCCCCTCCATATCCTCGCCCTCTTCCTCGCCTCCGTCGCCGGGCCCAGAAGACGGCCTTCGGCCCGCGGGGATTCGAAGCCAAGGGCGCGATGAACAATCTCATCAAGAATGCCGGCGAGGGGCCCCCCTCGCACTGCGCGACCAGGAGCGCGGTGAACTCGCGCCAGGAGGGATGGGGGTTGGGGGCGCGAGCGCGCGCATAATCGACATCGACGTGTTCTTGCGCGTAGCTCTGCACTCCGACGCGAAGTCGAATGCGCCGCGCCTCCCAGGCCGCGGCGCAGCGCGTCGGTCGCCACGCGCGGTTCCACCCCATCCTCGACCATCGACTTCGAAAACCCAAGTCGATATCGATTCAGCAGACTGGCCGCGGAAGAAGCCCATATGCCCACGGGCCCCGGCGGAGAAGGCGGTGTCCTACAAAAAAACACGCGCCGCAGCCTCGCCGCGAGGACTGGATGGGGTCGTCGTCGTCGTCGTCGTATTCTTCGTCGTCGATCTGATCGTCTTACCGAGGCTCGCCGTCGCTCTCAGACCTAGCGGCGCCACGTGCCAGCGCCGTGCTGCTGCTCCAGGGCCCGGCGAGCGTTCGCCGCGCACTTGCGCGCGATGTGCGAGGGGCTCGCTCTGCAAGGGCCCCATCGGTCATATTTTTGATCAGCTTGCACATCGCGTCGTTGGCCTCGCGGTGCCCCTCGTTCGAGAACTGAGCCAGGAGGCACATGTTCCGCTGGCCCGTCTCGTCGATCCCGCAAGATCGAAGAGCCCCGCTCGAACGTAGCCCAGTCGGGCTCCCCGCGGGCCGCCGGCGCTTCCTCGCCGACCGCGGGCGCCTCCTCCGCGGCGGCTGTTTAACTACATCGATGTATTTAGCAAGCCTGGCGCGCGATAGTCGAGGGCCGCTGCGGGGCATCGAGGCAATTGCGGGGCAAGGGCATCGAGAAGTGGAGACAAGATTGCGTGATTCACACACATGGACACTCTGGACTTCCACTTCCTTGCGCACCGGTTGCGCAGATGATGCTGCGTCGACGTCGACTGCAGCCGCAGTGGCTTCGCCAGCTGGCGCCTGCACGGCGCCACCGCCGTGCTCTTCGGCCATTGCGCCAGGACAGGGAGGGGAGGGGTCACGAGGGGGAAGAGGAGAGGGCGGATAATGGGCGAGCGAGCGAAGCGAGAAGGACGCTGGCGATGTGGACGGGGACTGGGGAGAGATCAGGATGGCGAGGGCTCTGATTACTCGACGCCAATGCTTCCATTGCCTCTCGATATCGACGGCGCCTCCTCCTCCTCCTCGGCGGGCCCCTCCTCTTTCTCGCGGGGCCTCTCCTCTCCCGCGTCGGACTCCCTGGCGCGCGCCCCGCCGGGGGCGGGATGGGGGGGGAGGCGGGCGCCCCTGGAATTTCGCCGCGCGCCCTGGCGCCAGGCGCGCGCGCCGGGCGCCAGGCGCGCGCGCCCTGCGCCCTTGCCGCGCGCGGGGTCCTCGGAGTCCTTGTCGCCCTTGCCCTTGCCCCTTGCCCATGTCAGCCCCGTCGAGCCGACGCGTCTTCTTGCGCCGCGCTGGCGACCGTGGCGCGCGAGAACTGCCCGCGGCTGGCGGCGGCATGGGGGGCTGCGTGGGCCCGATCTGGCGCGCCATGTGGCACTTTGCATGGGCCCGGCCCCACAAGGTCTTCCGCGTCGCGCAAGCCTCGAAGTCGACCCTGACGGCCCTGCGCGCGTAGAGCTGGGAGTAGGGCGGCTCGCCGCCGTCCGTGAGCTCCCGCGCCTTCCCAGGCTGCAGCCACTTTCTGACGTTCTCCAGCATGGCGATGTGCCCGCGTTTGCCGTACTGCTCACCCGAGTTGAAGATCTTGGAGTTGCGCGCGCATGCACGGGCCCTCCGCCGTGTTCCTCGACAGGTGGTTCAGCATCGCCCTCGACAGGTAGTTCTGCATCGCGATGCACTGGCGCGCGCTCGCGTCGAACTTGTGGAAGCCGTGCTGGCACATCGCCAGGGCCAGGATCTGCTGTTTCTGCACGTTCCACACAGCGTTGACGATGTCCTTGCAGACCTGCTCGAAGCCCTCCTGGCTCATGACCGTCCTCTGTGTCTGCGCTGCGTTGCCGTTTTCCTGGTGTTCGATGGCCCCTGAAGTATCCTTCGCCGGAGCTCGGCGCACGTCGTAGAACAACGCCGTGCCGCGCCAACAATCGGCCACGACTTCATGAACCATGTCGTCCACAAGGCTCCTGTGCTGCTAGCCGTAGCTGACGAAGGCGACGACCTGGGCGAACTCTTTGACGCGGTCCGCCATCGCGACCTAGGAAGAGCACGATGCGTCGAATATGCGCGGCGCTGCCCACGGCGCGCGCGCACTCAGTGAGCCTCAATGGATATTGGGCGACGGTCGATTGTCGAGTGTCGGTTGTCGAGTGTCGATTGTCGATGGTCGATTGCCGATGGTCGGTTGCACCTCGTGAGTCTTGGTTCCCAAACCATACCTGCTTGAAGGGTTAATGCCTATACTTGGTAGGCTGTATACCTTCACACGGCCATGCCAAGTTCGACCCCGTCGGCAGCCGCAGCCCTTCCGCGGGAGCCCGGTCGGGCAGAGACCCCAGCGACGCGCCTTCGCGACATCGATTGGCATCGGGCGGCTCCAGAGCACAGTGCAATATCCAACGCAACCTATGCTGAAGCCGATGTCGACGAGGTGCTTCGCAAGGTGGCACCCTGCTGCGTCCCCCTGCCCTGCTCTTCGTCCCCTGCCCTATGCGCATCCCCATCCACTCTCCCAAAACATTTCCCATCCTCCGCAGCTCCCCCCCCCCCCCCGCCCCCCCGGCCCCTGTGCTCCCCGCAATTCCCCCCTACTTCCCATGCCCCCATCCCTCTCTGTTTATTGACGCGGCGCATCAACTCACAACCGACGCGGAGGAGCAGGACGAGGACGACGGCGACGAGGAGGACGAGGACGACGACGATGGGGGGAGGAGGAGGATGAGAATATGAAATACGGCGATGCCGATGTCGAGCTCCATGCTGGTTTTCGCGCCATTCCCATCGCGAATGCTTCAGCTGTTGCTAATTCGGCCATGGCTCACTCATCGCCTTCGACTTCGACAAGGCCCTCTGCGCGACGCGGAGCTCGCTTTTCTGTGCCTCGCGTGCGCCGCGCCGTCTCTGGCGGCGCGCCTCAGCGCGAATTTCTTATCGGCGCAAGGAAAGCTCTGCCCGTGCAAATCTGTGGCGTCGACCCTCAGCTCCATAGGAATCCTGTCGGGCGGATGCTGCCTGTGGACCGTCCCCGACGTGATGTCGAAGTCGGCGCGCTCTCAAATGCGCCGCGAGGCCCTCCTCCAGTTGCGCATGCAAGGGGGCGCCAGGCCTGTCCACTACGACCTTTAACGCAATGCCTTGGATTTCGCCCATGGTCGGCGCGTGCGCCGCAACTGCGTAGCCGTGAATCCGGTCGTGGTTTTCTTTTGAATCGTTTCTTCCATGCTCTGGGCCCAGGCGGTGGCAGGCTACCGCCCTGCACGGCATGAACGCCAAGCGCGTCCATGGTTGTTGCCAATGGAGACTTGCAGGCGCCATCTCGAAGCCGCTCCACCACTTCGCAAATCGACGCGTTAGCTAGAGGCCTGGTGCCAGACCATCCACTGGGGCATCGTGACTTCGATCCCCGATTTGAGCGAGGCGCCGTGCATCTCGGACAAGTGCGTGGTGCCACCAGTGCATCCGTGTGCTATGTTTGTTTGTGTTGATCATTTCTTGGCTTGGGGCGCCGATCCCAAGGCTGTCGGCCGCGCTGTCAGTCTAGTCGACACTGCCTTGACGTCCGGGGGGCCCCAACCCATGAGGCATGCGTTTGCGCTGGCGAAGTTGAAATCCTGGGTTGAGATTCGCGGCCGTGAGAGAGAGAGAGAGAGAGAGAGAGAGAGAGAGAGAGAGAGAAAAAGAAAGAGATCACACCAAAGAGATCAAGGCCGCGGCGACTTCGCACGGCACTCCATTGCTTGACAAGGAGGGGGATCGTCAACTCCAAAGACGTTGAACAAGTGCTGGGGCATGGTACATGTGTTGCTCTTCTGTGTCGCGAACACTTTGCCACATTCAAGTTTGTGTATAACTTCGCCCCACGGCTACGCCACTGCACCGCGGCCCCCCTCTGGGACTCAGCCCGTTGGGAGCTGGACTCGTTCTCGAGCTTGCTGGGTGTGATTTCTCGGAGCATGCGGGTGTCCTGGAGCTCTAAGGTGACGTGTGCTGACGCGTCCTTCTGGGGCTTTGGGCTGGTCTGCAAGGACTTCGATGAGAAGCTCGCGGGCTCGGTGGGCGTGGTCTCGGAGCGGTGGCGTTTCTGGGGCGGCGTGCAGGTGCCGTCGAGGGCTTGTGCAGGCATCAACAGTGGGGCGCCCGTGGAGAACGCGGGGGCCTCGTGCAATGGCGCCCGGGGGCCGCCAGAAGGGAACCCGAGGGCCCCTCTCGAGAGTTCCGATGACTTCCAGCGCATCTCCGGCGCGGACGAGTTGAACCTCGAGGCCCGCCAGTTGGCCGCCGGTCGTTTGCCTCCATCTGTCCGCCAGCCTGGTTGGGCTTTCGCGGCATCTCACAAGTTGAGGGCTCCGCCCAACAACATCGTGGAGGAGGGGCCCGTGCGATCGCGTTCGGGGCCAAACATACCTGCAGGGCTACCGAGGCCTTTGGGCAAGACCATCTGCTTCTATCCGATTATCTGTCGTCTGTGTTGGCTCTTGGCAAGGGCCGATCCTCGGCCCCGGGCGTCTGCGGTGGCGAATCCCGCCTTTGCCTTGCGCAGGCCCTGCCGAGGCCCCCGAGAGCCCCCCCCCGCATGAGGCCCATATGCGCTTGCTTTTGCTTCGTCCTCTGCCTCGTCCTTGTCGGGCGAATCTTACAAGATGGGCCCGACCCAAACCCCCCTTCTTCTCATCGTCCCCCCTCCCTTCTCTTCTCCTCCTTCTCCTTTTCCTCTTCCGATTCCTACTTCCTCCCCTCCTCCTCCCCCCCCCCCTTTCCGATTTCCCTCCTATTGCCGCTCCTTGTTTCATGGGTCCACCGCAGGTCCAGGGTCTACTCGTGGCCCCTTCTGGTTTCGTGGGTCCTTGCATGGGCTGTACTTCGCCCCAGTATCCACGTCGGTTTCCTTGTGGCTCCACATGGGGAGCGGCTCGTGCGAGGGGATGAAGGTTACCCCATGCGCGCGCTCGGGTTTCGGAATGGCAGACTCTCGTTTTCCATCGCACTTTTTGTTCAGCAGGTGTAATATTTTTATGCGCGCATGCATGTGCGCTTGGATCGCGGCGTGGAAGAATGACAGACTCGGCGATGGCAGGAGCGATGTGCCTTTGGCGTGTACGTGGCCAAATTTGTGCGTGCACAGATTTCTGACGAATTTGGGGATCCTGTCAGAAGCGCCCGGGGGCTGGCTGGGCATTTTGGTTCACGACGCGCGCGCGTGGTTGGTCTGGCGCTTCTGCAGACGAAATGCGCCCCACATACATCGACGTTTTTACTGTCGTCCTAGCGGGCAGTGCTTGATTATTTGGCACAGACGAGGTTCATACATGATCCAGTACTTTTGGTCCGTTTGGTAGACGTTGTGGAGTTATCCGAACCAGTGCACATGTACACCATGGACGGATCAGATAATCTCAAATCGATATCTACTCTGGTCTTCGATGCGACGTGCCGACGGCGCATGTGCGCCGGTGTCCACGGCGGGGCGCCGTTCGAAGGTGTCATTGGAGAGTGGGGGCGCAGGCGCGGAATTGCATGTCCTAGAGATGATCAGGGCCCGCCCCATGTCTCGATTGGAACTGCGATGGCAATGCCCCACGCTCTTCTTTGTTCTCGCAAAATATGGGCTGCATGGGGCTTCCCCGTCAGTTCCAATGGCAGGACCTCGCGTCGACTACGCGCGTCTCTAGCGCGGCCGCTGTGGCGAAATCTTGGCCGAGAGGAGCTCGAGAGAGGAGTCGCTGGGTGCCGTGCAACGATGGCCGTGTATTTGACATCGATGATCTTGAAGGCGCCGCTGATGTGCTACTGAAGTGCGTTGGCCACACGGTTCGCAGCCATGCGTTTAGAGATGAAGCAGGGCATCATGCACACTGGCTTCAAGATATGAGGAACCACATGCTGGTACAACAATTGAGGTTGACACGCCAGGCTTACAACATGGAGATGCTTGTGCATGCAGTCGTCGGATCTGGCCCACCGCGAGATGCGTGCTCAGTCAAGGGCCGGGGATGTCCATTGCACCCGCCTCGAATGCCGTACACCTTATCCATCCCCTGTTTTTTTGATGTGGATCTGCTGAGTGGATCGGCATACCCATAGCAAACCAACTCAACAGGGAGAGGGTGGCTGGCTAAAGTGGCAGGTGCCCTGGGCATCCCCAAGGAGATCACCGAGCATTGCCTCCACGTGGTAGTCGCAGACGTTCACCTTCGAGCTTATCTGATTGACCTTCTTCGGGCAATCGCTTTGTTCCGACGCGGACTACATTGCATCGTCATCGGATGATTCTGCACTTGGGCCACTGCGCTTATCGCCAGGCACTAAACGGCCAACTGTCGAACGACGGCGCGGCACTTGTCACTTGGGGGACCTTGGATCTTTCACCCCAAGCTGGAATTAAATGGCTTCTTCACGGCGGCTCTCAAATTCGGCAACGTGGCCTCCCGCGAGTTTTGGATTTTTCGATGTCGCTAGCTTCCCCAGAGCGCCCAGATAATGAAGCAGATCTCATGGGCGAGCTGCGGGGCCTCCTGGGCATGGAGTCTGGATGCCCCGTAGGAGTGGGAAGCGGGAGAAAATCGTTGAAGTACAAAGGCTATGCTTTGATACACGCAGTGGAACTTCAGTCGCCCACCTGGAAGGCGGCGTGTCATATTTTGAACTCAGCTGTAAGTGTGACAGGATATCTCGGAGAAGCATCCACATCTCACTACCGCGCTGCCGTGCGGGACAGCTTTGGCCATTGGGTTACAACAGAAGACACTCGTATCATGAATGACGCTGTTGGTGGTCAAGCAGACTTAGCAGACTTTGACTTCGGCGCAGAGTTACAAGAATTCGACTTCTACGGAGAGGGCGATGCGATCCAAGACGACGCAGCAAATCAACCTGACCGCGAAGTAGACGACTACCCAGAGGAGGACGCGTCCATCGTGGTCCTGTCGAAGTGCCTGTACGTTGCTGGCCCGCACCACATCCTGCACACTCTGACTAAGGGGCTGCCTGAGGTTCTGCAGTGGTGGGATCCATATGTCATTTATTTGAAGAACG